AAGATAGAAAATATAAGTTTTCCAAAAAACTTAGAAATAATTTTTACAGTCATTTTCTGTACTGCACATACAAAACACAAGCATTGACATAACCTGGATTTAACTGCAGGAGCTGGGACTTGCATCTCTAGTCCCTACTCAGTACAAAGTTTTACATGGCTTTAAATCTAAGTACAAAAGGAAGATCTCCAAGCAGATGAAACCGGAGTCCATTTTGTAAGGACAAGTTTTAGATTTACAAATTTAAATATCACAGTTGAATAAAACACCTAACACTGAGCTCAAGCCAGGTATTTTAGCCAGACCCTGCATTTAGGATCTGAAAACCATCAGTATCAGCTTAAGCAAGAACCCATGCCTCACAGCCCACAGAATTATTTTACTATAACTCAAAAGATTTTCTGACTGAAGACTTTAATGAGGTCATTGCAGAGACAATGTTTCACAGACTCTGCAGCTCCAGGGGACAGAATTATTACATGTGCCATCTTGACTGGCTGCCACAGCCTTCAAATGTACTAAGAACCAAAACATTTGGTAACCACTCGTGCTGAGGCTTTGCCAAGATGTACAAACTTTTTCTTGTTCTAAGCCACCTTAAATCTCATACGATAAAATATCACCACTGTAAGGGATGGTTCTTATTTACAGAAGCAAAGCAGTCTTCATGAAGAGAAGCAATCATAGAAATAATTGGTTTGGTTTAGAATGAGCTTAAAAGACCATCTAGTTCCAGCTCTCCTGCCATGGGCAGGGACACCTTTCACTAGACCAGTCTAGAGCTCTGTCCAGCCTGGCCTTGGACACTTCCAAGGATAGCGAACACAATAATGTATTCAGTACTGTCAACAAGCCTCTGTACAAAGCTGACTGAGGTGTTCACAAGAAAAGACTGTCCCCAGCTTTCAGGTGGTAAAATAATACTGCAGACAGGTGTAGTTAAAGGGTAGAAGTCAAGATGTTCTTTGTTTACCTCAATTCTGATTTTATTTTTTAAATCAAACTCAAGAAACAAAAGTTACTCCTTAGTCTTTAATCGGACTCCAAGTCAAGGAAAAGTGCAAAGTTGTTCTCTTAAGTTAACCGAATTCTAAACATAAAAGACACTCTAATCTTGCACTTGAACATCACAAACTATTCTGCCCATTTAGGTTTTTGACAAAACACGCTCCAAAAGAAATTCCAACATCAACCTCCTTCAAAAGCTAAATATGTATTAGACTCAATAAATCACCTTATTATTTATAAAGAGCTTATACATACCTCCCCAGCTTTCCTTGCTAAACCAACTGCATAATCCATACATTCTTGCCAGGGATCTCCCATCTTTCCCGAGATAAAGAGCCTAGCAAAAGGAAAGATGAACGCAAAAAAAATTATTATGGCTTGCTTTCTTCCTTTTTTTTTTTTTAAACAAATTCGAAGTTTTTTCCTTCACCCGGTTTAAGTACTGCCCAAACGAGGAACGGGCTGAGCGCAGGCCCCGCCCCACGCCACCTCGGGCTGCAGGACGCGCAGCCCCCTCACGGCGCCCGAAATGGCGGCTGCCGCCTCCGCCGCCGCCGCCGCTCCCGCCCAGGCGCAGGCGCCGCGCGCGAGGCCCCGGGCCCGCCTCCTCTGCCGCCGCTCGGCGGCGCCCGCGCCTGCGTGTGAGGGAGCCCGGGGCCGGGCGAGGCCGCGGCGCCGGTGGCGATGTCGACTTCTTGTTGATAGTTAGACGTGGCAGGGCGGAGATACCGTAAATGCTCACCATTTATTATAAACTTCAATCACCACGCGATTGAAGTTTATAATAAAACTGAAAGGATGGTTTGGGTTGGAAGGAGCTTTAAAGATCATAAGCAACTTCTCTGCCGTGGCCAGGGGTACCTTCCGCTAGAGCAGGTTGTTCAGAGCCCCATCCGACCGGGCCTAGTTCTCTTCCAGGGGCAGGGCATCCACATCATCTCTGGGAAACCTGTGTCAGTGCCTCAGAGCCCTCACGGAGGGCGAGTTCACACAGAACTCAACGATTTTTGAAAGCAATTTGCAGTGCAACTGATGCTTCTTCAATATTAATTAAAATCCAAGCCTTACTAATACCAGTTTTTCTTTTTTTTTTTTTTTCCTCTGTGGTCTTTTGAGCCCATTTTCTGTCGTCAGGTAAAGGAAAAACACTGAGGGCTTGTTTTGTCCTTACAAATTGCAACTGATGTAATTGACTGTCCTATGCAAAATGGTGATCTGGCTAAACAGGGCGAGGATGCAATTTGCTTTATGGTTAAAATAATCATAAAATGTCTACCACACCAAAAGAAGCAGTCTTACCCTATTGCCCCAATGCCAACTTAATGCACAGCTAGGCCAAAGGGGGTTAGTTTTGTCCTTTCCACATCACTGAAAAAGTTTCCACTCTCACTGAATCTGTTGTGTGAGGCAAGTCACTGTGCAACTCCACATTTCCTCCTTCCCATCTCATAAACAAGAATAAGCCTGCTTTTTAAAGTATTCAAAGTCATTAAAGAACTACAGAGATGCTAAGTTGTGTTTTTATTGATTATTTTGCAAATCGTTCTTTACAAGGTTACACCAAAAGCACACAGACCACTGAAAGAGGCACTTTGGCTCAGATTCAGTTTTTGTTGAGGCAAGCAGCCGTACATGCCTCAGTACAATCTATACAGGACTGCATGACTGTTATGAAAAATGGCTTTTTGACATCATTAATGTATACTTAAGATTACAGCAAGGGTTTTACAGATTCCAAATTCTGCATTCACCTTAAAATCAGCAGAAGTAAAACAGGAATGCCTGAAGTTCTCTCCTAACAAGTATAAGAATTTTCCTAATCCAAACCACAATTTCTGTTCCAGCTGAAATGAAATTTTGTATTTTATATATGAGGCTACTAGGAGGAAAACTAAGCTGCAAGGTGTATTTATGTGTCACCTGATAAACTGGATGAATGGAGGTGACGTATTGATAAAAAAAAGTCTGCGGACCAGACTGATCACACCCCAGGGTGCATACTTTTCCAGAAAAGACATAGAAACAGAAAATTGAGAAAATAAAAGTATGAGAGATTACTGCCTGCTTTCTTAGTGTGATATATTATTTCTTGTTTAGAACAGCATTGCCCAGCCAATCTAACAGGTCACGATCCAAGCAGAATCGAACTCTTGGTGTTAATACAACCTTTTCCAAACTGTTGCATATATTACAAACACATGCCAGGCAACCTTGCAGCAATGTTTGAACTGGAACAAGGCCAGGAGCTGCTACCACAGCATCTCATAAAGCGTTTATAAATCCTTGACCACGTCCATTCTCTAAAATTACAGCTAGAACAACTAAAACTCTTGATAGTCACCTATTTTTGTAGTTTGGCTGAAAGCATGTTTGTTGTCAAATCAGGAAGTATTTCTTTTGATAAATTCCTTTTCTTGCTTGCATAACTTTACATATGTTTCTTTACATATTTTTTTGGCATCTACTAGAAGTTTTGTTTATTAACTTAGAAGTGAAAAAATTCAGCACCTTCTGAACACAGGCCTGTAAAATCAACAGTGGTTTCAAATGAGAACTGATTCCTCTGAAGTATTTTGGTCTTTTTTTTCCAATCTAGTTGTTGAACTTTCTGTACGAAAATGTGCTAAGATAATGAGTTAAAAAAAAACCAAACCAAAATGCTAAGTAAAGGTAAGTTGGAATCTAAACAGGTAAAATGAGAGCAGTTCTAACCTATGCAAGATCCTAGAGGTATGGAAAAGTTTCTGCTTTTGTTCCTAGTACTATTGATTAGGGTGGAGTTTTCATCTCTTCTCAATTATTTATGTCAGACTAATTTGGTTTTGCTTCTCAGTTTCTGAAAACTACCTGGAATGAGCTTCTGTGTACAATCCTAGACACATTCCTGGAATAAGATGATAGTGAAAACTTTTTGGAGTCTTATCAACTGTGACTTGCCATGTTTGTACTGTCATTTACAGGCTGACAGACCTTAGCCATTACTGGCAATTGATGAAAGCAACCATGCTGGTAAAACCTCTGAGGTCTCCCCAAAGATTGACTTCCTGCATCCCAAGTCTGTCTTCTCTTCATCCACAAAAAAAAGTGTTATTTCAGTTATTTTGCCTGCAAATGCTAAGGCAGAAAAATCGGGGCAGGCGAAGGGGTATAAGTAGAAAACTCTTGAAGATTTAGCAGAAGATTTTCTGCTAAAAAAAAAAGGGAAATTACTCTGTTGCACAAAAGTATTTTTCACTTGCTTTTGTAGCAACAGGGTGGGGAAAAAGTTCTGTTTAGGGCTCTTCCCAGCTCACTGGTTCCACAATGCTGGTTGGGCTCTTACTGCATATTCTGTACCACAACAACCTAAGATAAAACGAAAGATGAACAGACAATTGCAGATTAAAGGGAGGAAAATAAGTAACAAGGGAAAAGGGAACTGTTGCTCTTGTACTGGAAAGCAAGATAACCAGAGAGACAGGCAGGGGAAAGCAGAAAAATGCTCCTGTACTTTCCACTGACAAAGTCAAATCTTTGTCTGGAGACAAAGATTTCCAAAATAACCAGCCACTGACAAACCCTTTCCTTCATGGAAACCAAAATCACCTTCGTCTGACATCCAGTAAAGCAATTTATTCATACCTAAGTCATGTTAAAACTACAGTAAAGAGCACTGTGAAGCAAAATAAGTGACAGGCTTACCGAGCTCTTTTATCCCCCAATCACACAAAAAGATTTACAATCAGGAAGACACCTGAGTGAATTTACTTTTCTTTCATAAAGCTTTCTTCCTAAATGTCATTAAGAAAAAAATGTGAACCTGGTGTATGGGCAGTGCCAGTTTCCAAATGCAATCAAATCTGTTTGTGTAGATGTAGAAAAGATGCTGCATTAGCATAGTATGTTTTTTTTCCTTCAGAAAACTGTCATACTGCAAGTTTACATTCTCATTATTTATTAAGACATACTGTCCCGGCCACTTACACAAAAATAAATACCAAATTTAAGAAAAAAAATATTGATATTATACAGCTCAATAGAGCAAGAATTTATTCTAGAATGTGAATACCTGTAATATTAGTTATTATAATTTTCCCTTCAGGACATAGTTCTTCTGTCAGTCAAGCAACTGAGAAACTGATTGAAATTGTGTCTTTACAATGGAAGACAGATTCTGGCATACCAGTGATTTTAAAAGAACACTGGACTTGCTTTTTAATACCATGCTTCTAAAAAATACTGGATTTTTTTTATTTTTGTAAAAATTTATTGACTAACTAAAGTAGGATTCTGTATCTTCTATAAATAGAACATCATTATCAAGATACTCCAGAATTATATTCCCTCCATTGTACAGTGGATAGTCTTTATCAGATAGCCATGTTTCCAGTGTGTGCTCAAATGGCAAGGCTTCTCCAGAGGCAGTATGGCATAATCTCAGTTTCTGTAAGACAGATAGGACAGAAATTAACACCAAGATTTGCCTATACAAGATGAAAGAAGTGGGGTGGGAGAGGCACAAAAGGCTAAAGAAAAACTAAAACCAAAATGCAACAACCTGGAAAATGTTTGTTATTGCTGACTTACCTGGGACGTTGATTTGTTGTTGTCATTTTTAAGGCTTGCTAAGGAAGCTGCAAAATCTACTACTTTGCCAATACTCCACTTACTGCAAAAGAACATGGGTTTGCTTTTCTCTTTGCTCCCTTTTGGTAAAAATACTTGAAAGTAAATTCTTTCTGTCTAGAAAAACATGAAAAATAAGACAAAAATTAAAACAATTGATGAAGACACAATGTCAGGGCCTCACACAGGAGGTCACCTTTTCTGGGGACCCAATGGATTGTGGGCAGGAAATAAGCCCCCTGATTCACTTGGCAAATTAATTATGTTGGACTTCTCCCTTGAGCACCCGAGGGGTGGTGTTACACCCTTACTGGAGATAAAATAAGGAAGGCTTAGGGAAAGTTTTAGCTTGTGGTAAAGCTGATGGTCTTACCACTCTGGCAGGATTTGATCAACAGTTTGCTGACACTCCCATGCCCTCTGCTGTGCAGTCTGACAATGACATTCATTAAAAAGAAAAAAAAATCCAGGAATCCTAGGACAATCATGGAGTTTCCTGGGCGTCCCACCTGTCCTCAAAGTAATGGTGCAGTCAAGAATGGAATGGTCCACTAAAATGAGCTCTAGGGCAAAGTTTCCTTATGGAAAAATGAGGTAAAGCCCTACCTAAAGCTGTTTGGTGTTTAAAATAACCAGCAGACACCCATCAGATGCCCACTGGAAGATTTGACACTATCTGCAAAAAGGATGCAGGTGATAAGGAATCACAAGCTACGATGTGCTATAAAACTCTGTGCTGCACTACTTACAAAATTGTGCTACAGTGATTCTAGAAATCCTGTTCTAGTCTAATAATGAAATTCTATGCTGATCATCAAATTTTGCTAAAATAATAAGATTTAATAAACTCAGTGCTGTCATCTTTCTGCCAAGAATCCCCAGACGACCCTGTTTGTCCCTGCCGTGCTATGTGACAGCCATGTGGCAGGCAAACACATTTCTGCTATGAAGTAATAGAATTTGATTCCACTGCTCCAAACTCCACAGACATCTACAGACATAAAACAAGTGAGATTGCTTTTGGGTACCAGGCTGACATGTACATTTAAGGGATTGTGGTCTTGAAAAATTAAATCCAAAACCAAGCTGAGGAAACTCAATGAAGATCAAACAATTTAGAATTCTTTGTAGTTCCTTTGAGAATTCAGTTATTGAAAACAAACATCACTGACCTGAGGCAAGGACTTGTCCCCACATGCGTGCATTTTCAGTTTCATTAATGCCACTTTTGCTGCTGTCTCACTGTTTTTTGCTCCTTTACGTTTTTTGCTTTTCACTTCGTCACTCTTTTTAGAATCTGAGAACAATATTATTCCTGTTAGTGTGATCATTCTGACAGTATCCTAAGCATATTATATGACATAGTCTGTTGGATCTCATTGTATTGCCAGGGATCCCATCCCTTTTCATGTCTGTTCACATTTTCCCAAAGTCATGTATCAGCATTTTCAGTTCTAGCAGAATTCCTTTACATTGAAAGGTAGATGAACATTATCACCATGTAAACACAGGCTGCAAAAGGCAAGTAGATACAAATAGATACAAATTCTGAAGTTTCTACACCTGTGGCCACTACAGCATTCATATGGCAACATTTCAGGTCCTCATTTCTACACATAATCCCACTGTCCAGCTGGGCAGTGCTGTTTATTCTCTTTCCTATCCTAGAGCTTGTTTAAAACCTGCAAAACATTACATGGCAGAATTAGACTTTTCTGGGCATATTGATTGTTAGGTGTGATCCCAGCATATTGACATGCACATCCAACACAACTGCATTATTTGCACATGAATTAATATGTAAACAATAATGGCTAGGTACAATTCATTATAGTATAGCACTTGTAGAATGACAACAAGACAATAATTCTGAAAGAAACCTGTACCCTATTTATTCTTTAGAGATTCTCCTTGTACTGTTGTTTTGGCTCAGTTTAGATAAACAGTATTAAATACTGACATATAAGTTTAGGGCTATTAACCAAGGAACTCCCATCCTTTCTTCTTATTTGGTCAAACCTGACCCCTCAAAGGAGGTCAGAAACTCAAACAGTGTTCTGAAAAAATATAAGAAAATGAATATATATGCCTCTGTACTTGCCTATAATATGTTGAACAAGCTGCTGGGTGGCAGCCATTCGAGGTTTTGGTGTGTCCAGCTTCTCACATTCATGGTCTGATTGATGACGATGTCTGTAAACAACAAAGTAAAACTTCTATTGCATTTTCCATACATTAGTGAATTAATATTGATGTTTAAACACTCTGTTCCACTCACCTGAGACAAAAATGTTTTTCACAGTAAGGACACAACACTGGCAAAAGCTCCTTTCCATTGCAGTCCTTGTATGAGCATGGGTAAGATCTGTGCTGATCAGGTTTCACAGAACTGTTTCTTATATTCACCTAGGAGTAAGTACAAAATATTTTGTGTAAATAAACAGATACTACAGATATAAGTTACCATCCCAGCTTTCTCAAAGATCTGTGATAGCTCTCCATTCTATGGGCAAACCTGGTCCAACTATTCTCTCCTACTTTTGCCCTGGTTAGGTTTAGCTCAGAGGCTGAAAAAGAATTGTCATCCTACTTAATGTCAGTATACTTCTGAGAGGAAGAAAAAGAGTAGATTAATTTTTTTCAGCCTTCTTCCACATTTGGAGTTAAATAATTAGTACTTATATACCATATGCATTTATCTAGTCTGAAAACACACAGCTAAGTTGAATGGAATTTTTAATGTAAGGCTGTCATGCATTGTTAGATTACCTCAGAACACCCATGAGCATCCCAGCTCCTGTGCTGAAGGCTTTGTGGAAAAAGAAGAAAATATCACACTGTTATCAACATTCCAGGGAAAAAAAACCTGCATGTGAAAACATTTAAGTGTTTAAAGAGTAATCTGACAAGTTTTATCATGGAAAAACTTCAATTAGATAATGAATCTTCTCCAATGTTTGTTCTATCCTATGCATTTCACTTCTTGAATTGACAGATCTTATGCTTTCTCAGAATGTAAAACATTTAGCTTTTGGAACTTATGCCTCAAGATAAACAATTCACTTCAAGAGAAGGAAGACATTAGCATGCTTAAGAGTTCAGTTCAAAGCAACAAGAGTTTGTCTGTTTTAATGGATTTTGAATCACCTTCCATAATGGCAGAAATCCCTTAATGGCTTCTGATATGTCAGAAGTGAAATCTACCCCCAGCTGAGTTTCTCTCAGCTGCCCTCTGCTAATCTGAAGTGTAAATCAAAGTGCAGGCCCTGATTTCAACCTTGCAAGAAACCTCAAAATTTTTTCAAGAAGAAAACATAATCAGCCACCTCCTTTTGTGACAAGGTCGCCCATTTATATGACACTGGGAAGCCAGCAGATGTGGTGTTTTGCATTTTAGCAAAGCTTTTGACACTGTCTCTTAGAGCGTTCTTCTGGACAAAAAGGTCCAGCACACAGCTAGGCAAGGCTGTAGTACTATGGCTGAGCAAATGGCTGATGGTTTGGGCTCAGAGAGTCACAGTTAATGCAATTGCTTCAGTCTGGTGGACAGTGGAGTTCCCCAGTATTCAATTTTAGCACATTGCTCTATAGTATTTTTATAAATGATCTGGATACATGTTATGGTTGCCAACTATTCTAAACAAGGAAAAGCTGTCACCTCCCTTGAGGGTGGAGAAGTCACACAGAGAGATTCTTGATAGACTGGAGAGCTGGGCATTGAGTCACCAACTGTATGAAATTTAATGAGAGCAAGTGCAGGATTCTTCACCTGGGATGAGGAAATCCTGGTGACCAAGCATACAACATGAGGAAATGGAAAGAAGCTATGTCACGGGAAGTTCAGGTTGAACATTAGGAAAAGGTTCTTAGAGAGGGTGGCTGGGCACTGGAGCAGGCTTCCCAGGGAAGTAGTCATGACACCAAGTCTGTTGGAGTGCAAAGGCTGTCTGAATGACGCTTAGTTGTATGCTTCAGTTTTAGTCCTGTGAGGAGCAGGGAGTTGCATTTGTTAACTCTTGTGGGACCCTTTCAACTTGAGGTACTGTGTGATTCTGTGCACTTACCAAAAGATGCCTGAACAGCCATCGCATACGAAGGGAAGAAAATCTGAAACAAAAAGATTTGTTTTCAGTTAAGACAACATGGTTGTTGTTTTGTTAATAGTTTCTAGCTTAATTTTCACATGATTAACTTTTGCTTACCAACATCGCAGGGTAGGTATAAGAATACTTAGCAACTGCATCTACACTTCAGCTAGAAGTGGCTTTTGTTATCTCCCCTAATTAATATTACAGAAAAACATATGAGCAGGTAAATTACACTTATATGCATTCCAGAAGTTAGAATTAGGCTTTAAATTAAATTTTTTCTCAATATCAATCTATGACACTGGAACGTATGGCTAGCCATCAAAATTACTAATTATGTTAAAAACTGAATTTATTGCAAGACCACTCAGAACACTATTTACTGACAGTGGACAATTTACATTTTTTTTAATGGGCTGCCAACTGGAGGAGATGCTGGCTCTTTGGAAGGGAGAGATCTCCTCCACTGGACAGTCATAATGATCCTGCCTTTTACATCATATCGTACATACTGTCCTTGGGTGATTAAAATTGCACACGCTTCCTAAGCTTCCGTACACATCCCCTGCCTACCACATAAATTCTTACACATAAAATCACATCACTGTCTGCTAAACTCCACCACATCATTAATGGCAGCAAATGCCAGGTGCAGTCCACTACTCTGCTTCTCCCTCCTTCGGACTTTATGCTGACAGACCACCACGCAACTGGACCACGCAGCTCAGCTCACGATCGTCTCGATCGCTTCATCTGAGTGGTCCCTCAGAAAGCTTTCGCTACAGGCGGTTCTGCTGCTTCTTTCAGAGAGGCGACATTTCCAGTCACACTCTCCGAGATCACTGAAGGCAAGCAAGTGTGAGGGAGGGGCAAGCGGGCTCTTAACTACCCAGTGAGACAACCGAGGTGACAGGCGCTGGCACTAGACCGCGCAGGGCTGCAGCAGCACAGAGGACTCCCCTCGCAACCCCGCACCGGCCCCGTCCCCGGCCCACCGTCCCCGTCTCCGCCGGGACCCGCCGCGCTATCCCTTACCGAGCTGGCGGCACTCGGGCACGCCGCAGTGCTGCCCCACCTCCAGCTCCGCCATGTCGGCGGCACGCAGGAGGCGGAGAGGCGGCGGGGCGGGCAGGGCAGGGCCGCGCTGCGGAGGGGCCGCGGGCGGGGCAGAGGCGGGGCCGAGGGCGGCCCGTGCCGGGTTGAGCCTGAGCCCGCCCCTCGGGCTCGGCGCTGCGGGGATGCCGGCAGGATCGGCGGCATCAGCGAGCTCAGGGCAACCTAAGCGGCCCATGTCGGCCCAAGCATCCGCCTTCAGTGGGCCCAGAGCCGCGGCTGGTACTCCTCGGGCTGTTCCAGGGGAAAAGAAAAAGGCATGATTTGTGCCTTATTTGTGTCGCTGTTTGCGTCGTCCTTTGGGGCAGAGCCTTGTTCCCGGAGGCAGAGCGGAGGTTGCCCGGCTTCCCAAAGGACTTCCTGCCCCCTGCGACCTGGGCACTGTATGTTGGTGCCACTGAGGTTTCCTTAGCGGCGCACCCACCACTTTTGTGAAAAAAACCACATTCTTTCAGAATTCAGTGTTATGTTCCCAGCCCTGACCCGTGTGCACGCCTGTGCCCGAGGGTGATGCCCTCCCAGAACACGTTCCCGCGGCATGTCTCTAGTTCTGGGTTCCTCAGCACGAGAGAGACATGGATCTCCTGGAGAGGATCCAGCAGAGAGCTACAAAATTTTTCGAGGGACTTGATTATCTCCCTTCGAAGAAAAGACTGAGAGAGTTGAGCCTCTTCAGCCTTGAGAAGAAGCAACTGAGAGGGGACATCACCAATGTCTATAAGCATCTTACGGGAGGGTGCCAAGAGGCTGGAGTGAGGTTCTTCTCTGAGGTGCCAAGCAATAGGACGAGGCAACAGGCAGAAACTGGTGGCATAGGATTTTCCACCTGAATACGAGGAAGAACTTTTTTATTGTGTGGATACCACGCAATAGAACAGGTTGCCCAGAGAGATTGTGCAATGTCCCTCCTTGGAGATCCTGATTGCTTAGATGCAATCTTGTGCCATGTGCTAGGATGACCCCGCGAGAGCAGGGAGGCTAGCCCAGGTGACCCACTGTGCATTCTGCGATTCTGTGACACGGGAAAAAAGTTAGGGGGAAAGCACAAACTCGCAGCCGCCTCCGCAGCGCCGGCCAGTCCCAGGACCCTGCGGCTGCCCCGCGGAGCTCGCCGGCTCCTCCCGCCGCTCTGCCCGGCGCTGGCTGAGGGCGGCGGCAGCTCGGCCTCCGCGGAGCCGCCCCCTGGCCCGCCCCGCCGCCAGGTGCGGTGCCGCCGCTGCCCGTGGGCTGAGGAAGTGCTGTCACAGCGTGTGCCGGGCAGGGAGGCTCCTGAGGACCGGGCAGGCCAGACCTTTCCGTCGGCGGGCGCCGAGCTGGGATTGCCGCCATGAGCAAGATCTCCAAGTTCTTTAAAGGGGGCGGCTCTGCCGGCTCCAAGGGCCGTGGGGGTCCCTCGCCGCAGGAGGCGCTGGCCCGGCTGCGAGAGACGGAGGAGATGCTCAGCAAGAAGCAGGAGTACCTGGAGACGCGGATCGAGCGGGAGCTGGCGGTAGCCCGGCAGCACGGCACCAAGAACAAGCGAGGTGAGGGCGGGCCGGGCTCCGCGCGGTTCAATCCCGGGGCTGGAGCGCCCTGGCTACGAGGGGCACTCGGGTCTCGCCGGGGCTGTGGCTGGGTCACCTGGCCCCGCAGGTGTGCGGTGTGCTTCGGCTGTGCGCTCCGAGCAACTATCACCACACGCCAGGCGAGATGGTGGTTTTGGCATCGATTAGTGTTTTCACTAATCGTGGATTCACTAATTTCACTAATTGTGGATTCATATAGCGGGATGGGAATTTGTTATTTCTCACAAAAGTACTGTCTGTGGTTTCCTGTGCGATTCTCCTGCTCGTGCTTTGCACCGCAGTCGATGCAGGCGCTGGTTGGATACACGGTGGGCAAAGTACTGCTTCTCAACAGGGGAGGGAATCGCTGTTTGGGGGCTTAGCGTTGGCTGGGCAGGTGGCGATCGAGATGAAGGATGTGCACATCTCCTGTATATTCACGAATCAATGCACATTATCCCCATTGCTGACAGCTGAGCAGCAAAGTGATGCAATGATTTGTCCAAATAATGTAAGAAGTATATGTGCAACCAAAAAAAGAATGATAGCTTAGAGCATTAGTAACTACTGCTCTGGGACGCTGTTAGCTACAAAGGAGAGGATGCTAAGGGGTCAGAAAGCCTGGCTCCTATGTATACTGATGTTGCCACCCCTGGGAAGCAAATGATGGTAGTCAGCGTCTTGGGGATATACAGGCCTCAGAGAAACAAGTTAATTACTTCCTGAAGTCGCATGGAGGCCTATTTGCCTGAGCAGTATTTTAATTGAAATGCTTAATAATAGAAGAAGATTATTTTGAATTAAAGATTTGTGATGTAACAAGAAAGTAGGTCTTTTGCCTGCTTGTTCTGTTACTCAGTAATTTAAAAAATAATGCCCTGTAACTTTGAACTTGTGCAGAGCTGTGTGTTAGAGGTGTCCTGGTTAGCCCTCAAATGTATTTGTAATAATTTAGCATTTAATAATTATTAGAAAAAGCCAGTTTAGCTAAACTAACTTTTATTTTAAATGGATTTAAAATTGTGGGCCAAGATGGGATAGATTTGAAGGCACAGTTGAGGGAGTAAAGTCAGTTGAGAGCTTAACTGAGACAGCTGCTCAAGAGAATGGGCGCTCACAATTGTCACAATTGTCCCAGTCTCACACTTTCTAGTCCCTGGCTTCAGCTGAAGTGTCTCGTGGTCCCTTGTCCAGGTACTGGCACCTCTGTACTTGTCACAGTGAGCTAGTTCAGGAAGGTGAGCCGCCTGGAAGCTAATTTACTATGGGACAAAGTGACCAGGTGGCTCCTGGGGCTGAATTCATTGTGCAAAAACCTGAGCTGCAGGGCTGATACAAGCAAACATGTTGGTTCCTATGACTAGCAATTCCTAGTTAAATCCAGACATGCTGCTCTGGAACTTCATCCCAAACCTGAAATATAAGCTGGCACATTTGCAGAAAGAAGAAGCATTTCCTGCCTCACTCCTGCCTTTGTACTGCTCCCTTCCTTTCCCTTAGCAGAGCTCCCTGAAGGGTGTGTTTCAGAAAGCTGTATGCTGTAAAATATTGTGGTTTTCTTTGTCTGGGTTCTTCTTTTTACCCAGGATGGTTTAAGTTCCACTTACCAGTTGACCTGGTAGCTACATGAGTGCTTGTGCACCTGTGAAGGAGAGAGTGGGGCACAGACTTTGAGAATTTGTTGGGAAAAGGCCGATCTGCTTCTTCTTTAACTTAGCTGGTTGATGGTGGTTTCAGGTGTGTTGGCCTTTTGCTTCAGGCATGTAGCATTTGATATCTGAACATCATTGTTTCCACTGCAGTGCTCAATATGCAATTGCCCTAGTTTTTAATCTATTAAATTGTTCATGGAGTTGTATTGCAAACTGTAGTGTTGAGCTGATCACTGTTAAAAATAACTGCCTTTTATTTATATATTAAAAATAACTGCCTTTTATTATAAATGCCTTTTCATGTGCTCGGGGACCTACAGTTAAGAACAGTAAAGAGGCAAGAGTAGGGCTAAAAGTGCCATGGGACAGTTTTTATTCATGCCAAAAATGGTTCTAAAACCAAAATGGGATAACCTAAGTACAGTCAGATGAGAAACAATATCAACCATATATTGTTTAAAATATAACCTTGCTGTGCCAAAGTGCTTAAATTTAGCAGGATAGTCAGTGAACTTAAATCCCCAATAATATATCTTCATTTGATATGTCAATTGCTTTACAGTTTAATTACTGTTGATTTACATTGATATATTAGCTGGTGTGTAGTACTGTAGGGCTCAGAGAAAATCTGTGCTAACCACCATCTATTGTAACATTATGTAAACATACAAATGAGAGAAGAAGGGTTTTCATCTACATTGCCCTGTTGAAGTAAGTGTTTTGGAGGGACATCACTGGTTATTTTTAAGGTAAGTTTTCTTTTCTTTATTGCATCTGTGTAGAAGCCTATGTAAACTAAAATAGGGCTGTCTGCAACTGAAGCAAGATGTATCTAGGGATAGAAAATGCACCAAATTAGCATGATCTCACTTTTAGGTGCATGAGTCTGAGTCAGTTGCACCAGACAAGAGAGAGCAGATTCAAGCACCAGCAATTTCTCATGACTTCATATGACTCTTGAATTGGTTTCATGTGACATCAGTAGGCTTAACTTGATTTAAAAGCTGTAATGCATTAGCTATGCCATAGATGTGAAACATCACTGAAATACTCCTGGCTTTTCCTTTATGAAGTATCTCTGCAGTTCCTGTACCTAATCTGAAATGAGCTATACTTCTTATGTGATGCATTTCCAGCATTCCCCATTAATATCTGATTGTAGCTAAACCACTTCAGGGTTTTTTGTTTGTGAAATTCCTCCTGAAAAGGAGAAATGTTATGAGAAGCAATATTATTATGCCATGAGAAACAATATTTTTTTCACAGTTAGCACTGAATTCTAATGTCTCTCCATTCCAGGCACAAACTCTTTTAAAATCTCTTGCTGTAGTTTTTGGGGGTTTATCAGTTTCAGCAGTGCATAGCTGCCAACTCCATCTACATATTGGCTTTTCTTGACTCTTTTAAAATCTCTTGCTGTACTTTTTGGGGGTTTCTCAGTTTCAGCCAGTGCATAGCTGCCAACTCCATCTACATATTCGCTTTTCTTATCCATTGTTTTAAAGGACATAGAAGAAAATTTAAACAACAGGAAGTGATACTGAATATTTGAGAACTTTGTTTAAAAGGAAATGTGTTTTCTGAAGCATGCCTGTAATTGTGAAAATAACATACACATGAATGTCTGTTGTTTCAGCCCGATGTCCTTCACAGATCCTAAAAATATAAAAAAACTTAGTAAAAAGAATAAAGTTAAGCCATCCAGAACAGGATTAAATCTTAACCATAAAGAACCACATAGTACTGCTGAAGACAAAACTTATGAAGAAAGTGGGAATAAC